CCTATATGGGATCCGAACCCAGGGCCTTGGTGTTATCAGCACCACACTCTCCCGAGTGAGCTGCTGGGCCGGCCCGACATCATCATATTTCTACTGTACCTTTTCTGTATTTAGATACACAAATATCATAGTTATAATTGCCACAGTTTTCAGTATAGTAACATGCTGTACAGATTTGTAGTCTAGGAATAATAGGCTGTACCATATAGCATAGGTGTGTAGTAGACTGTCCAGGTTTGTGTAAGTACACTGTATGATGTTTGCATAATGGAGTCACCTAATGACACATTCCTCAAAATGTATCCCCGTCACATGACTATATTTATGTATTTTTTCCTTCCTCCTCCTCACCTTGTTCTTTAGAAAGTTTAATCACAATTTTCTGGAATTCTCTACAATTTTTGGTAATCTTTTTTTTTTTTTTTTTTACTTCTTTGCAGGAATTATATTCCACAGAAAAGTATCCCCAAGGAAGTGCCACCAGGTACTAAGTCTTCTCCAGGTTGGTCCTGGGAGGCTGGCCCATTGGCTTCTTCCCCGTCTCCACAGAATACCCCTCTGGCCCAAGTGTTTGTCCCTTTGGAGTCTGTTAAGCCCAGTAAGTGCAGTTTCATGCCTTATTTTTTCTTTCTCTGTTACAATCCCAGCTTTTTTCACTCCAGATTAGTAGGGGTGGCCCTTAATTTAGGGAAGATGTGTGGTGGAGATTTTGCCTGGGGGCAGAGGGTAAGAGGTGGCAGCTTGGTCTTTTAACTAATATTTTTCTTCAAAGTCTTCTTTGTTTTGGGATTGACATTGTCAAGGATATTGGCAGGCAGAATTTAATTGAAGGGGCTTAAGTCTACTTAGGGACATGTTGTTTGTTCATTTGGAATTCAAGAAGGGAATGTTTCATGTGGTCCGAAGTGACTAAAAGGACGTGGGATTTGTTTTTTGTTTATTTTTTTTTCCTTTAAATTTTTATTTTGTCAATATACAATGTGGTTGATTATTATGGCCCATAAAGGACGTGGGATTTGAAGGAAAGGAAGAATTTGGCTAGGTATCCTCCTTCTCTAGGGATCCTCATTAAAGTACCTTTCTAAGTGGTCGCAAAGGGAACGAGACTGAAGGCCCATGGTCAGTACACTAGTATGTGAGGCAGGAAACAGCTCCAAGGCCTGGGCACTTTTCTCTAGAGCAGAGTCCTCCTGTGGCTCGGTGTGGTGAGGTCAGATTGCAGAGGGCCCTGGAAGCCAGGCAGATGAAGGTAAACATAGTTGGTAAGCAGTGAGAGCTCTTTACACATTCACATTATTAATTTTTGATTTAAAAAATAATACGTGCTCATTGTTAATTTCCTGATTTTGATACTTGTACTATGGTTATGTATGATGATAACATTTAGGAAACCTGGGTATATGGGAATTCTTTGTGTTGGTTTTGTAGCTTTTTATAAGTCTGAAATTATTACAAAACAAAGTGAAAAAAATAGTTAAAAGCAAAAATACATGTTAAGGTAGAGATTTAGAGAAGATAGAGCAGAAAAGTAAAGTTAATCTATACCATTACTAGCCAGAGATGGATATTCTGTTAATGTCTTATCTTGTTGTCTTACCCATATATATATAATTCTTAATAAATTGACACCACAGTATGTATAGACTATCTTATTATCTGTTTTAAAAGTAATGCTGGATGTAGACATTTAAAATTTTGGTCTGCATTACCAATTTCCCTTCCAAAAATTTTGCCCTTTCCCCCATACTCTTACTGCCATACCTCACTGGTATTTTGTTTCTTTTTTTTGTTTGTTTTTGATTTTTTGTGTGTGTGACTCGCCAGTAATGGAGATCTGAACCCTGGACCTTGGTGTTATCACACCATGCTCTGACTAACTGAGCTAACCAGACAGCCCCCCTCTCACTGGTATTTTCTTTTCCTTTTTTTTTTTTTTTTTTTTAAAATGACCGGTAAGGGGATCTTAACCCTTGACTTGGTGGTGTTAGCACCACGCTCACCCAGTGAGTAACTGGCCATCCCTATATGGGATCCGAACCCATGGCCTTGGTGTTATCAGCACCGCACTCTTCTGAGTGAGCCATGGGCCGGCCCTCTCACTGGTATTTTCAGTCTTGTAAATTTTGACAGTCTTACTGTGACAGCTTTATTTTTATAATGTACATTTTGATAAGTGATGTTTGGCATGAGATAAAGATCTTCCTTAAAATGTTTTTCCAGATGGTTAACTCATCTGAAGGCCATTTATCAACCACTAATTTTAAAATATGTATCCTTATGTTAAATTCTCGTATTTGGGTCTGTTCTCCATGCTGTTTTACACCAGTTTACTTGAATTGCAGTTTTATCTCTTGAGTATTTGCTGATACAAATAGCCCTGCCCCTCTTTTTTTATTTCTTGGTCAGTCTTGTTTTTCCCCCAATTAACATTGGAATCACCTCTTAGCTAAATTAAAACAATCTCTTTAGGGTTTCCATTGGAATTTCATTAAACCTATTACCTTGAGGAGATTTACTATCTTTCCAGTTTTACAGAATTAAATGTAAGGGGTGTGTATGGTGTGCATGTGTAGTTATATGAAAGGGACCAGAAGGAAATAATCCTAAGTGTTAGCATTGCTTAATTCTGGATAGGATTAACAATGATTTTTTAAGAAATTTTTCATTCTTTATAATAGTCTTTATTTTCTATAGTGTTTGCACATTATTTTAATCATAATTATATCTCCCTCAAAAAAATGTTGTTTTTAAGTTGGTAATGTGCTTAGGATGGTTGGATGGTTGGGAGAAGTCAGTTTGGAGGGTTACAGGATTCCTACTAGTACGAGAACTTGGATTATGGTGGTGCAGAAGGGTTAAGTCCAAGAGATGTTTTGAGAGAAGCATCAGCATTGGAGAGAATGTGCACATCTGTCCCAAGCCAGGCTGTCAGGGGAGTTTGCAGTAGTACTAACCCTTCTGGTTGTGTCTCCCTCTACCAGGCAGCCTGCCTCCCGTTATCGTATATGACCGGAATGGATTCAGAATTCTGCTCCACTTCTCCCAGGCTGGGGCCCCTGGCCACCCAGAGGTGCAGGTGTTACTGTTGACCATGATGAGCACCGCTACCCAGCCTGTCTGGGACATCATGTTTCAAGTGGCTGTGCCAAAAGTGAGTCATATGCTGGCTGCCTCCTTTGAATTTCTCAGTAACTATCATCATTTTTGAGCACTAGGTCTTTTGCTGGGACCTTATAAGATGGAAGACAGAATCTTCACTCAGACTAGTTTAAGATGAAATGGGAATTTTATTGGCTTACTTGATATCCTCTCTACAAAGCAGGAAAATGGCTACCAGCAGCTCCAGGGTTATATGATTATTAACCCTTCTTATCTCAGAAGGAAACTCTCACCCGGCAGGAGGCATGCATGTTGATATATCCAAGAAAGGGCTCTAATTTGCCTTGTTGGTGTGAATTACATACCTTGGCCCAGTAGCTTGTGTCCAGGGATATGAGGTACTTAGCCAATTTGGGATAATATGTTCCCTTTTCAAGGGAAGTAGGGCCCCTCTGGATAATAGTCATACAACAATCACAGAGGAAGGGGCATGTCCTTAAAGGAAAAGATTGAAGGCAGACAAAAATAAATACATGCATTCCCTAATCCTCATGGTAGTCTTGTGGGATATGTACCCTATTACCTCCGTTTTCTAAATTCTCAACCCAAGGCCCAGAGTTAAATATTTTGCTCAAGGTCACAAAGCTAGTAAGGGGCAGAGTTAGAATTCAACCCAAGATATGCCCTAGCTCTTTATGCTGCCTCTCAGATGCCAGCCATTGACCATACAACTTCACATATGTTGTATGTGTGTGGAAGGAAAGGCCTTATGGATCTTTTCATCAATTAGTGGGAGCCATCTCTTTGGGCTCCCAAGGCACCTGTGGGAGCCCATGTCTCCTGAGAAGCCCATTTCCTCTTAGAGCAGTGGTGTGCATGTCAGGTTCCTGTTCACCTGCTCTCCCTCACTGGAGCTGTAGCTTTTGAGGAGTGAGTTACATGTTGGGCTTTTCCCCCCCTCATAGTCAATGAGAGTGAAGCTGCAGCCGGCATCCAGCTCCAGGCTTCCTGCATTCAGTCCTTTGGTGCCTCCAGCTGTGATATCTCAGATGCTGCTGCTTGACAATCCACACAAAGTATGTTCTGGCATCTTTTGTAGCAGGGAAATGGGGGCCCCTGAACTGCAGGGAGGTAACTTTGTGGGTAGAGAGAGGCATATAGAAACTTTGCTCTAGAAAGTATGTGGTTTGGTGGGGGGCGGGGATGGAGGGGAACGTCCCTTGCTAGAGTCTGATTGCCTTTGAGGCTTAATTGAAAGAAGATCTGTGATGGATTGTCATAGTTGGGAACCAAGGAAGGGACATATGAACTCTCCCTAATACCATAGAGTCATGAAAGGGTGAGGCCTGTCTTCAGAAGCTGATCTTTCTGAATTATAGTCCATCTCAGGACTGCAGAAGTGTGGATGGGCTCCCAGGATGTATGCTAGTGTCCCTTGTGTTTGTAGTCCCAAGGAGGCTAGGCCAGGGTGTTTCTTTTGTGTCATCACTTGGGTGGAATTAACATATACCTACTGTTCCTTGGTCACTACTGGGTGGGCGAAGGCTTTTACTTTGGGCTGGCCGTTGTGTTGCTCCCCACTAATTTAACATCTTATGTCTCTCATATCCCAGGAACCTATCCGGTTACGGTATAAGCTGACATTCAACCAGGGTGGACAGCCATTCAGCGAAGTAGGAGAAGTGAAAGACTTTCCAGACCTGGCTGTCTTGGGTGCGGCCTAACTTCACAAGAGGGATCCTTCAATTCAAACTTAGGCTAATGTTACTTTTGCTGTCTAGCCAGGATAATTCACGGTGATTTAGTGCAGAGCGCCAAGAATTCTGGCATGGCATCAGGCTCTGGATGCCACCTCTGTCTTATTCTGCAGATACTTTGTGTGTGAGTGGGTCTGCGTGTGTGTTGTCGGGGGGTAGGGAGTGGATAGAGCAGGGCTTAGATGTGGGCAGTGTAGGAAATGCTGAAGCATTTCTGATAATCATCTCTGCTAAAGTCATATCTGTTTCTGCATGTTGGTGGACACCGATGTCCCTACCTCACGTTAGAGGTTTTATAAGCCAAAGTGTTTTTTCCATGTATTTTTATCTTTTCATTCATCCACTCTGTGCCTTGTCAGCCTTTGAAAGTCTTGGTTTCTCCCAGGCTGCTGTTCTCAGGGACCTTAAAAGGGACCTGGTTGGTCTTGGGGCAGAGAGTATTTTCTGGGGCACTCTCTTCCAGGAAAGACCTCGTCTCCGTCTTCATCCGAGAATGCTGCTTGCGTGTGTTCAGGAAGATCTTCTAAATGGAATGCTTTTTGCACTGTTTCCAGGCGAGGGGCTGCTGTGAGACTAGAGGACCACACTTGGTGGGCCACTCATGTCCTTCACCACTGTGCCTTAGAATTGCCCTTAGATGGACCCTCTAGGGAAGAGGGGAAAGCAGATCCTGGGCCTTATTCAAACCTCAGGTTCTGTGGGGTGGGCGGCAGCCATCTGGGCCCTTACTCAGGACCCTCAACTCCATCCTCATCCTCTTTCTCCATAAGCATTTGCTCAGAGCTCTTTGATTGTGACACCATGTAAGTAATTATAAATCACAGCTAGCAGGCCAGCCCGTGGCTGTTGACTTCACAATCCAAGATGGGGAATCTGTGATACAGATAGATGTGAAAAGAGCTTAGCAATGATTTAAGTGGTGACTAAGTATAGAAAGTTGTTGAATAAATGCCATGTAGCAAATACACGTTGTGGAGTGTTGAGTAATGGGAGATGCAAAGTTAATTGCATTTGAAGATGATAGACCTGAAGGGAACTAACTTTCTTCTGTTGGGAAGTAAGGAAAACTTCATGAAGGATGTAAAACCTTAACTGCCTTAGTGAAGAGGGAAGCTTTGACAATCCGAGGAAAGCTGGAGAGGAGAGGTGGATGTGTCACATCTATAATCTGAAGGAAAAATTAAGATTTATAATCAGTTAATACTTAATGAACACCTACGGTGTTGCTGGGAGCTTTGATGTATGTGTTTAACAAGTCCTGCTCAGCCCGATCAGTGGCAGGAGGAGCCTGAGCCTGGCTGAGGTGGCCTGGCTGATGAAGGCTTTGAGATTGGAGTGGCTGACCTGTCTGGGTAGGATTCTACCTCAAACTGCATGGCTCTGTTTGGAGCTCTTAATCACAAGACCTGGTATTTTCACAGTCTGATCTTTTGACTTCATATAGTTGAAAATCTGCCAACCCTAATTGGTGAGGGTGGAAGCTATAAAAGGTCATTTGTCAAGGTATGCTAATTCTTAAGCAAATATGAAAACTCATAATACATAAATGATGGGGTGATTTCTTCATCTGGCATAATTCACATAAGACTAATTTTAATCTAAGATTACTTTCATGCTCAAGTGTTCTATGTAGCTTTTATAGGTTCTCTACCTATTACACAAAATTTTTAGGTCCTGTACCTATTACACAAAATTTTTAAGAGGTAACCATTGTAGTGATAATGCCTATTTATGAAGAACTTCCATCAAAATGGTGAATGAGACTTACACAAGGAAAGGACAGGCTTTTTATCCTATAGTTCAAAGGTGAACTGATGTGTGTGTATCTGAATATTCTTCTGTTTTCCAGGAGACAGACCCCCGATGGTACTATGCCTAGGTGGAGCTGGACAGGATATGGGTGGGAGGGGAGCAGGAAGGCAGGTATCCTGAAAGTAGCCCTGGTTTATGTCATTGGTGCGTTCTAATTGCCAAATTCAGTGACCAGTTAGAGCCCAGTCCTTACCTTTTCACTGACTCAACAAATAGTTATTGACCAGCTACCCTGAGCCAGGTACTGGTGTAGGCACAGGTACAGCAGTGATAAAAGTCCCTGCTCTTTTGGGTCTTCTCTGGTGAGAGACATGTTCATAATGTACCTGCTGGAGATTTGGCACTGATGGCCAATGTATTACGTCATGCTGAACACTTCTGGGCTCCTGTTCATCCCCATTTCTTCACCTACCTCTGTGACTCCTCCTCTTCCTCTGTCCCTTAAATGTGGTTCCCCTGGATGTAGTCCTTAGGACTTTTCCAAGTCATTTCACTGAGGCCTGGCAATCAAGCCTTTTTAAACTGCTAGATGGATCCTAGACCTGAGTCGATCTCAAGCCCTCTACCCTCATGTTTCAAACTGTCAGTGGACATCTGTATCTGGAGGTTCCACTGTTGCTTTCAACTCTCTGTGCTCAGAGTAGAGCCCATCCTCCTACCTCTTTCCCCCTATATTCTCTCGTACTTGAAAGTACCTGTCTGAGATTTAGTGGATTCTTGAGTCCTCCTTAATCTATGTCCACTCAGTTGTGTCTCATGTAGTCAATTTTCTGAATACTACCTGCTCTCACATTGCCACTGCCCTGGTTTGGGCCTTTTTATTTTATTTTTTTCATGGTTCAGTAGCCTGCCTGACAATTCTGAGTCATTCTCCTTGCCACCACCAGAATTCTGTATCAAAACTGAGTGCTTGGGGCCAGCCCGTGGCTCACTCGGGAGAGTGCGGTGCTGATAACACCAAGGCCCCGGGTTCGGATCCCATATAGGGATGGCCGGTTCGCTCACTGGCTGAGCGTGGTGCTGGCAACACCAAGTCAAGGGTTAAGATCCCCTTACTGGTCATCTTTAAAAACAACAACAACAACAACAACAAACTGAGTGCTTGTTCTCCTGCTGAAAAATCCTGAATGGCTTCCTAATGCCTAGATGCCTGTGGGATCAAATTCCAATAGCTTACTGTGGCATTCAGTCTACTTCTATTACTTTGCTCCCTATACTTGTGGTATCATCTGCCAAGAATAGAGCATAATTTGCCACAGCCAGAATAAGTTCCTTTCAAGCTTTGATAATGCCATGTTTTTTCATATCCTTTTGACTGTATATGCAGGTAATTCCTCTTTTAACTTTTCAGTGAACTTAAGACTGGGCTAAAATGCTACTTTGTCTGTGAGCCACTATTTGAACATAAATGGGCAATGGAGATAAATAGAATAAATGACAACCAAAATAAAGTGAATGTTACCCATTAAGAATGAAGTAGTATAAATGAGATAGCAAACAATAAAGGTAGAAAGCAAAGGCGATATTCTAGAATACAAGTAGTGCTTGGCTACTACAGTGTTCCAAATTCCTTTAAATATGTTGAGTATAGAAGATATTTACCCAGCCCAAAGAGTATAAAATTCAACTAGGTGCAGGGTTTTGTTTTTGTTTTTTCTTTTAACTAAGAAAACAGTAGGATAGAGTCCTAGAATGCTTGCTCTGGTTTATTTCTTTTAAAGTACAGCCTGATGTTCTTCACTGGAAAGAGGTGAAGCCAAGTAAGACAAAGCAGGAAGTGTGCTCAGATAAGATGAGCCAGGCCTTTCCCTAATTAGTTGAGGTACTTGAGGTCCAGAGCCTTCATCACCTGTCACACTGGAAAGAGAAAATTTAGGCCTCTATTCTTTGTCCAGTGCATTGTCAGTTATACCATATTCATTCTGAGAAAGCCTGTGGTTTAAAAAGCGTAAATATTTTGCTCCTTTGACTTTTATTCTTGGGAAGAATACATACTTCATTTCACTTTTAGAAGTAGTCTAATATTGAAAATTGAAATACCACCACAGAGATACAGGCCTCAGATACATAGACTTGAATTTCGAGGTCCGAAGTCCCAACAGTTTGAAATAAAGTCGACCCTTTGTTGCAGTTCTATTCATTATTCTTCATTCACTATTGCCTCTGACTAGCCATGTGACCTAGGACAAGAAATTTTTCCTCTTCAGATTTTTCCACTGTAAAATGATAGTAAAAGAACCTACCCTATAGAATTGTTTTGAGAACTAAACTGCATTGGGCTGGCCAGTTTGTTCACTTGTTTAGAGCGTGGTACTGACAACACCCAGGTCTAGGGTTTGGTCCTTGTATTGGCCAGTTGCCAAAAAAAAAAAAAAAAGGAAAAACTATCACACTTGGTAATGAGTTGTTAGCTGTTTTCTGTTTGTTCATCTAGCTTACAGTACATGAACAGAACAGACTTGCCCGTACTATTTAAGGGTTAATCCTGAGACACAGTAAATATCAAGGATAGAAATATAAAAAATTACAGTAATTGGAAGCTACATTCCTAAATCTAATAAAGTTTTAGCCATTTTGAAGTTCTACTCCTAAATCTAGTCAAAAAAACACATCCATAATAGAACACTTAGAAACTAAGAATGAATATTCTTTGTATAAAACATTAAGCTAGCAATTGTGTAAACAGAGGTATGCATTCTAAAATTCATAACTTACACCAGAATCTGAAACAGATAATACAAAAAGTATTTTGCATTTTTTATTATTGCTTTTGAATATATAGGCAAAATAGCAAAAATTTTTAGCTGAAATACTGGCTTTAAAGCTAGTGACGTATTGGAAGAATACACTGCAGAAAGCATTTGCTGGGAATGCAGTTAACCACATTAATAGCTCAAAATTATTTGGTCATCTCAACAGATGTAGAAAAAGTGTTTCAAGGGCTGGCCATGGCTCATTTGGGGGAGAGTGGTTCTGATAACATCAAGGCCACGGGTTCGGATCCCTATATAGGGATTGGCCGGTTAGCTCATTGGATGAGCGTGGTGCTGACAACACCAACTCAGGGGTTAAGATCTCCTTATCGGTCATCTTCTGAAAAAAAGAAAAAACTGTTTCATTGCATCTTTTGTAATAAAATCAAACACCAGCAAATGTTTAATAAGGAACTACTACAGTGGTCTAGACAAAAAGGTTTATTTTCCTGTGTGAAAGAAGGCCGGAAATAATTCAGAAATATTTTCTTTCTTTTTTTTTTTTTAAAAAAGATGACTGGTAAGGGGATCTCAACCCTTGGCTTGGTGTTGTCAGCACCACGCTCAGCTAGTGAGCAAACCGGCCATCCCTATATAGGATCCGAACCCGTGGCCTTGGTGTTATCAGCACCGCACTCCACCGAGTGAGCCACGGGCTGGCCTCAGAAATATTTCCTATATAAGCATCGCAAAGTCATTAGGGGCCCAGCCCTTAAGTCACCATCCAAGGACATGCTGTTCAACATCCTGTTAAAAGATAATAACTTTAGACATGATATTCCTATTGTAAGTCACAGGAAAGAAGGAAGGAATAAAGGAAAAATATTCTTTTTCAGGTTTCCTGAAAGTTTCACATTTCCATTCAAATCTTGGCCTGTGAAGGCCAAGAAAGTCATATTTGCACACAGTGGCATTGGGATTTGGTTACTAAGGAAGGAGAGTAAATTAGATATAGGGGTAAATTAGAAGTCTACCGTAACATTATATTATGGCAATATACAGGGGAAGAAAGCTGCCCTTGAACTATTGCTAAACAAAAACATTATGCTTTTGTATTTATCATATAACCCAAGTTTTAAAACCAAACAACCCACCTAGATATCTGTGTACACATATAACTGGTAATTTTCAGGTCATAGAATTACAAATGAGTTTTAGAAAATACAGATTAAAGAAAACTTCTAAGTTGAAAGTATTTATGCTCAATGTTAATTTTTTTTAACGGATAAGATGTTCACGTGATTCAAAGTTAAAATACAAAAGATGAAAATTCTTCCCACCCACCCCATTTACCTTCCTGGTCTGTCTTCAGAGAGGGTCGGTGCTATGTTCAAGCAGATTTATTGTTCTATTTAGCTTTTTTCATGTAAAACTGTTTATGGCTTGGAGATAATGCAATTAC